TCCTAATAGCTTCTTGTTACTACTAGTAAGGCACTTGTTACTACTAGTGTGGCACTTGTTCCTAATAGCTTCTTGTTACTACTAGTAAGGCACTTGTTACTACTAGCGTGGCACTTGTTACTAGTAGCTTCTTGTTACTACTAGTAAGGCACTTGTTACTACTAGCGTGGCACTTGTTCCTAATAGCTTCTTGTTACTACTAGAAAGGCACTTGTTACTACTTGAAAAGAAAGGCTTTGCTGGCCTTGACTACTCTTGAGGTCTTTGTGCAGCAAACGATGAAGACAGCAAGTTCCGATGAAGAACTTGCATTTAAACAGAAGGAGAAAGACACCCAAATGCCACTTGACCTTCAGAGCGGAACTGGAAGTTGCCTGTCGCTTGCGACATTGGGGGGTGTAAGTGCTGGGGCCCAGGGGCTTCCTGCGACTTCCTCCAATTTTTTTATGGTTGGGCTTTCCCCTGGAAGCGGTGCCAGGTAGTCAGCAATGCAGGCAACTAATTTACGCAACACAGCACCCCAAGGCAAAACGCCATAGCGGCTCAAATATGAAGGTTCTGTGAGACATTTGCGACGGTTGATGAGCTCTTCTGTTGGAAAGCATCCTTCACAGCGTTCCTTCTGTGGGGAATCTTTTTTGAATTCTTAAAGCGTCTGACTCTGGAGTCTCTCTGCCAGGTATATCCGAAAGGTGAAGAAGCTCTTCCAAACAATCGACGAAAGCGGCGATGGCTCAATCAGTTTGGAGGAATTTGCAAAACTGGTCCAGTCTCATGCCCAGAGAAACACTTTGCTCATGACTCATGTCTATAATGAATGCCGTTAGGAGTGTTTTCCATTGCATACGTTTTTGTGGTTTCACCTGGAGGTAACCAAAGCTCAAGTTCTGGATGAGCCAGTTGGCAACTTGGAAGGAAGGGCTGTGCAGCATTTGTTTCTGATTACTAGCAGCTTCTTGTTACTAGTAGTAATGCCAGGAGCTACTAGTAGCATCTTGCTCCTAGTAGCGATGCCCTTTGTTGCTAGTAGCTTCTTGTTACTAGTGTCGCGAACTCTAAACCACAATCCACCATGCTTGTCACAGGGTGCGACGTGAGCAACCCACAGAGCAAAGCGACTCCAAAAATCTACACCAACAGCAGCAAGCTTCAAACCAATCTTCCAAACCGATCTAAAAGGCTGTGCTTTTGTGCTCTCTGGAACGACACCGTTTTGGCATGCTTTGATCCTTGAAAGCCAAGCAAGCACGAGGCTTTGGCACATAAGCGACATTTTGGGGATTGTCGTCCTGGGGGATTGTCGCGAAGTAGCCTAGATATGCGAGCGAATTTGCCCCAGCACCAGAAAGAGAAACAGCTCCACCGATGCTGAAGTGTTTGTAATTAGAAAGCATATGGAGGTTGCTTTCGGTTGCGTAAGGCTCACCCTGAGGCCAGCTTTTGCTAATGATGCGTTCCGTACGTTTGAGAAAAACTGTCGATGTGCGAAAGTGACAGAACTGCTTTGGGTTTCCTGCATGGATCCTTGATCCTTCTGAGCTTCGAAAGAAGAGAGTTACAGAACCTCAAGTGCTTCCATCCACATTCATCACCGGCCCCAACCTATATGAGCAACTGCCAAAACCTCCGATGAAGGCAGCATCACTGCAGTGAAGACTAATTAAGTAAAAGTGAAGGAAGCCTTAGGATTCACAGAAAAAGCGATAAGGTTTCAGTACATGTTGTTAGGTGTGTCCAAACCCTCAGGAACGATAAGTGCACTACAACACAAGAGGTTTTGCACGTCGCTCATATAGGGTAGTCGGCTGATCGCCCAATAACATACAGCTGAACAGACTCTCCAAGCCGAAGCTTTTGGGTCGGCGGGTAGGGCTCTCCTGCGCTCTAGGCCCGCGCTCACCGTCGCCGCGGCTGCGCCGGCTTTCTCACGCTCGGTGTTGACAGACATCGACCCGAATGGCCCACAGTTTCGTATTATCTTTCAGGTGAACCTGCCTGCGCCGTGGGATGTGCGTCGTGCAAATTTGAGGGGTGTGGCACGCATGGCAGCCAGGGGCGCTCAACTAGTCTTGGCTCGCCAGCATATACTGGCCTCCAACCTAGAAGCGATGTCCTCCAACCTATAGCGGGGAGACAAGTGGGGAGACGAGGTAGCGGCAGCGGTTGACCAAAACGCCGATCAACCACCCAATCACAGAAGTAAGAACCCCTCTAAATTTATTTGGAGGCCATCGCTCTTAGGTTGGAGGCCATCGGTCTTAGAAGCAAAGAAAGGATTTTGCGGAAAACGTGGCACAAATTTCTGCAGAGTCTTTGTTTGCAGAACCTTGGCCGTTGTGGAGCCACAAAATTGACGGCTTGAGAAGCGCGAGAAATGAGTAGGGATGCCAGGAAGCTTCTTGTTCCTAGTAGTAAGGCCAGGAGCCCCTAGTAGCGTCCTTGCTCCTAGTAGCGATGCCCCTTGCCACTAGTGCGTTTTCTATTTTTCACACTAAGGAACTTGAGTATCACGATTTGTTGAGCCTTTTCGAGTTTTTGGACAATGGAGACGGTGAAATTACGTTGCTTGTCTGGTTTCGCAGCATGCTTTCAAGATTGGCAAGATGTGTGGGAACTCATTTGACATGCTGGGAGTGTTCCCGGTGTTCCCAGTTCAGCTAACTTAGTCCTTCTAGTTCTGAGGCTCATGGAATTTGTCGAAGGAGCTGGGCGATTGAAAGGTACTGCGAAGACATTGGACATTTGGCGGATCGAAACCAAACTTGAGGCAACCTGTCTTCCATAGTCTCATCAAATTTGCCTTAGTTTTCATTTGGCATGGCATATCGTTGCTCTGGTTTATGCCTTTGGCAGGTTCTTTTTGAAGAGGTCTTGGACAAGTTGAGACCGAAACAACTTGGTGAAGAGGATGATGACAATAGCGAAATTCACAAATCCGATAACTCGATTGTGGAGGATGTGTTCAACAAATCACAGCGACACTGGCGGAATTGTCTTTTACGTGTTAGGCATGTTCCTGGTAGACAGGGCTTTCAGGATCTTTCAGGTCTGCCGCGTCATTTTGTTTTAGAATCTATTCAATAAGCTACTAGGAACAAGTGCATCGCTACTAGGAGCAAGGGCCTTACTAGTAGTAACAAGAAGCTATTAGAATAAAGATTAATTCTTTTTGTTTTACTTGTTTCATCTTGTTTCTCTGTTCGCCAGGTTCCGCCACATCAGGACAACGAAAAATCAGAATGGCATGAACCCAAGTGGTCCGAGTTCCCCCGGAAGCCAACCTTCCAGCCCGGGTTCTGACACGCAGAAGTGGATTTCTGAGGCCCGACTGAAATGACAATATTGTGAGAATAGGAATGTGCTATAATCATGACAAACTGTTGATTTCTTTGGCGCAACACCGTGTGGAATAAAACACATTGTGTAGCTTTTGGTGCAGGCGGGCACCTCAGAATTTATCTAAGGTTTACTGCTCAGGGCTGGTGACGGTAGGGGTGCCTGAGGACCCTTTAGCACCGACAGACCTGCATAACTGCATAACCAACAAGTCTGGAAATGTTTTTGTGATCTCCAAGAAAGCGCGGGTGAAATACCAAAGGACCAAAGCTTGTTTTGATCCAGCGAACACGCATATAAGAATACTTTTTTTTGGTTTCACCTGTTAGCTTTTCAGTGATGCAGCGACGCACTGCATGCTCGCGCCAAATCACTGGATTGCTGACTGGCAACCAAGAAGGTGCCATGTGCGTGCGCTACAGCGGGTCACTAGATTCCAGATGTCTTCCTGGATGCAAAGCATAATTTTATCCGAGCGGGCACATGTGGAGCGTGGCTCGCCGATTCGCCCCTTTCGGTGCAAACTTTCTCAAGAGTCAGCTGTGCTGAAAAAGAACATAAAAGGTTTTGAGATTGGAGGTTTGCAACATGTTGACAAAGCCTCGCGCTTCTAATTCCAATGGAAGCGAAATGGATTGGTTTTACGAGAACAAAGATCACCAATTGATGGCCTTATTTAGGCACTCACTGGTTTAGTGCAGATTAGAACCTTTGAGCAATTACAGGACACCATGATTTCCTATCACCAGTACAATGGATATTCCACTCCCATGGCCTAGTAGCTTTTTTGTTACTACTAGTTTTTTTTTCTACTAGCTTCTTGTTACTACTAGTAAGGCACCTGTTACTACTAGCGTGGCACTTGTTCCTAGTAGCTTTTTGTGAAGGCCTTGTGAAATTCGCTTCACTGCCACAACTACCTGTCGCCATTGACAAGACTTTTGCCGATGAAGTTTTTAAGCTTTTGATGAACTCTTGATTGCGATGATGAACTCTTCATGATGCAGCTTAATGACCCGACCCATTGTTACAACATCTCCTTCCTACTTTGTTGATGTCTCTTCAATCACGTAAAACTTTTGATTGTGCCTGTGCCCCTCAGTTTTGTTTGCTATTTGCATGGTCACAAGCTGTCTGTCTTTGTGCAGTTTGAGTCTCAAAATAGTCATGCGAATCAAGCCTGACAGCTTGTAACTTTGAATGCACCGACTCTGGACGTGTGGTTCCAGCTTGTTTCGTTTATGCCACTTGAAGCCAAGACAGCAAAAGCACAAGAATACAATGGTACAATATTGGTCGCAAATGGTTGTATACAATAACAAGGTAAACTCAAATTAATTCTAATAGCTGCAGCTTCTTGTTACTACTAGTAAGGCACTTGTTACTACTAGTAAGGCACACTTCCATGCTCTATCCTTCTTTTCAGAGATTGCCACTTGGATGCGGCTGCATTTGCGGGTTTCTTCGCCGATGGATGCTCCACCTAAGCCGGTCTTTGATGATGGAACCGCGTCCACATTCCCGCCTTGGGATGATGCATCGTTGGAATATGGCAGGAGAGGCAAAGGGACAGGAACGCCCTGAAAGGGTCCGATAGGACAGGTCTGAAATGCTGGGAGTAAGTTCAGCTCTGAGGTTGGAGGCCATCGCTAGTAAGTTCCTCTAGACCTCTTGAGTAAGTTCTATTGCTCTCGCATTGCCTCATCGCACTTTGAGAGCTGATTTTGGAGGTCCACCACATTGTCCTCGGACTAGGAAAGAAGAGAGGAAACAAGGTCTTAAAAAAGAGAGAACGGGTGTTGGTAGGGATGTAAAATTTGCTTGTCAGGGGATGCTTAAACATACTGTATTTTACATTTTTAAACGTGTATTTCATAGGCTTAAGCACGCTCATGTTTGTTGGATATCAAAAGGAATTTAAACAGTAAATACTTACGTATATAGAAATCACTAGGATTATCAAGGGAATTAAATATGTAAGCAACAAAAACAAGCTACATTTAGATTAAAACGACATTGATGGTTATCAATTTAAAGGGAATTCACACATCCAAATAACAAATTAAACACATTGTCACGATATTGCACGGTGAATCTATATTAATAAAAGGCATTCCGGTGTGAAAATTGACCGCCCACATGGCCCCCGGTATCTCAATGTAGGATTCTAGGGGGTAAGGGTTGACATGAGTTTGTGTCTCAAGAAGCGCAACTGCTGTCCGGCCAGTGTATTGTAGGGGTTATACTATTCAAGGTTTTCTAGTGTGCTGGGCTACTTCCTTTGTGCAATAGATTTTTGTAATAATTTGACCTGGTTCAATAGGGGATTTAAAGGGCATCAACTAACGGTTTAAGAGACATCAATCGGTTAAAAGCGACCTAAAAGCAATTCAACAGGGATTGAGAAGAACTTCAAAGGATTTGAACAAAATTTTAACGGACAGCATTTAGAATTATATTGGAATTTAAAGGGAAATCAACTGGAACCAAAAGGAAATCAATTAGACACCAACAAATCTTTAAAAGGCACCAACAAGAACCAAAGCAGCTCAACAGGAATTTACAAGAACATCATTTGGGATTACAAGGAAATCACTTGGAATCAAGCGGATTTTAACATGTGACGGTTATGCGCTGACATACCTCCATGTGTAAACATGTTGAGAAGACTTGTGAAGACTTGTGACCGCAGGCCGCAATCAAGGCTCAAAAAGAGAGCGAGCCTTTTTAGATGGCAGCGGAGCTGTGAAGGACTTAATTTGCCCGGAGCTCAAGGAGGCCAGGACCCGAGCCCAGAGCTTGCAATCGGAGCTTTGTGGCTACCTCAAGGGCATCTTCGGTGGTGGAGTTGAAGCTCCATGGCAAGTGGATGCAATTGGAGCAAGTGGTACAGGAGATCCACGGCTTTGCGCAAACAGCCCTCGCCAACTTGGGTGAAAAGGGAAGTTATGGAGCGGGACGCGCCGATCCAAAGACTTTGGTGAAGCCAGATGTGTGGAGTCCCACTCCTTGGATGAAGAGCAGGCATGGCCTGAATGGTCTTTAGGGCTTAGGGTTTCTTTCCTCTTTAATGGCAGGAGAACTACACTACACCAACGACCTGGACTAAGCAAGAGACGAAGATGGAGGCGTGCAAAGACGAAGTGCAGAAGAGAGCCCGGAAGCTTTACTCCTACTTGGTGAGCCTTGTGAAGGGCAGACCACTTCGGATCATCCGGAGTGTCACGAGCAATGACGGCTTCAAGGCCTGCCAGCCCAAGACAAGACAGAGAGAACTTGGAATCATCCAAGCCTTGGTGGCCTTCCCTCAATTTGACAGAGGCAAGATCCTAGAGGGGTTCATAAAGTACGACGAGCTGGTCGGCGAGTACGAGCTGGCAGGAACCTGCGTGGACAAGAACCTGAAGATAGCAACAGTGATGTGCTGTTGTCACCTGGTCAGGTGAGGCAGCATCTTCAGCTGAATGTGAAGCACAAAGTATGCCCAGGTGAGGGAATGCTCGAGCGGAACTAGATTGGTCCCACGGATATGGACAGTGAAAGGAGAACCTAAAGGGAAAGGACAAATAGGCAAAGGTAAGAATGGATCGCCCACAGGAAAGGGTGGTGACAAAGGAAAGAGCAAAGGCAAAGGCAAGGGCTACTCCGACAACAAGGGCAAAGGCAAGAATGGCCGAGAGTCAAGAGAAGGGCAAAGGCAAGACCAAAGGACCTTGCTTTGTTGGTGGCAAGTCAGGCCACAGAGCTGTGGAGTGTTGGCAATGCTTTCAGCAGGCGCGTCGAGATGGAGGCAGAGGTGTTGGACAGCTGGTGGCCGATGAAGTCTTTGGGAAGCACGGAGCCCAGTTCGACTCCTTACAGGAGTGGTGGGAGAGTGACAACATGGTGGAGCGGTCCGACCTCACCATGCCGGACGGGGACCGCATGTGGACCTTGGTGGAGCCCGACATGGAGATGGACTATGAGGACATCTTCGAGAACGTCAACTTCATCAACTTGGCGAAACTCAAGCCCCAGATGGACTACGAAGCCCTCTTCATTATTTGTGCTCCCCCATTTTTGTGGGGGACTCTTAGTCTTGTGGAAGGCTTTTGCCGGAAACCTTGATCGACATTCTTGGAGGTGGGGGCACTCTGTGGAGCACTGTTGTGCGGGGCACTTGCTTCGTACGAGACGCGCCCAGAAGTCACGCGTCAAGTCTCCAAAGCAAGCGTTTCGTACTAGCACTCCTGCCAAGCAGTCTCGCAATCCAGGGCCCCCTCAAAACCTGCGCCTGCCGCAAAAATTAAACTTCGACGCCTCCAAAGGCTCAAAATGCTGCGCCTGCCACGAAATGTTGTTTCATCAGGGCTTCATGTCTTCAGCCAAAGCCCCCGCACCACACCTTTGGAATGGCTTCGACGCTTTCGCAGCATTCACGCCCACCAAAATCACAACTTTAGCTGAGACTTGCCACGAAAACGCAGCTTCCAGGCAACGCCTGCAACGCATATCTCAATGGCACAGGGACACTCTGCGAACCCCAATCCCGATGGCGCAACGAAGGAGGCTGAGTGTCATGTTTCTACGCTATTTCACACGAATGTAACACTTCAGCCTTGCATCCCAAACCTCCAAAACCTGTAATGCCAGGAACTCTAGTACCTTCTGGTTACTAGTAGCAATGCCCGCACCTACTAGTAGCTTCTTGTTACTAGTAGCAATGCCAGGAGCTACTAGTAGCTTCTTGTTATTAGTAGTGATGCCAGGAGCTACTAGTAGCTTCTTGCTACTAGTAGTGATGCCAGGGGCTACTAGCAGCTTTCTGTTATTAGTGGTAATGCCAGGAGCTACTAGTAGCTTCTTGTTACTAGCACTGATGCCAGGAGCTACTGGCGGCTTCTTGCTAAAGGCCACTGGCACTACTACTGCTACTGGTAGCTTCTTGTTATCAGCTGTAATGCCAGGAACTACTAGTAGCTTCTTGCTACTAGTAGTAATTCCAGGAGCTAGTTTGTTGCGTAGTAAGGTGCATTCGAGAATAAAGACAAACAACATGTCTTTAAAGCTTGTCTATGAGCCCGGCATTGAGCCAATGGATGCACTGATGCACTTGAAACATAATTTGCGAGGTTCACCACATTTCCTGTCTCCTGCGCTTCTGGCTTTGTCCTGGCCAGGATTGACAAGTTCCAGAGCAGCTCTGCGTCCCCTTCATTTCAGCGCCTTGGATGATGCCATGATGCTTTTCATCCTAGGTTTGCGTTTCCTTTGACTGTCCGATGGCGTCCTAGCCACTGAAAGCAAAAAGAAAGGATTGTAATCAAATTTGCAAGGAAGGCTGACAGCATGATGCACCCTAAGACCCAAACTGCCATCACTGAACACAAGACCCTATTCAGTTGGAGATCATCGCATTTGATTGAGGCGATTGGTGAACCAATTGGTGCAACAACATTTACAGGAACTTGCTGAACAAGAAGCAAGGCAGACAGAGAGAGAATCTCAATCAAAGGAGGCCAAAGGACCTCAGGACTGCCCTTGTTTCTTCAAACTTTGACAAGCCTTGAGCGTAGTTTTTCTCAACTTGGTTGCAAACAGTAACTCAAGCTTTGTGTTTTTCTTAAGTTCTTAAGGACATATGTCGAGAATGTGGAGAGATCATAGCCCTGAAAGAAGTGGCAGATGACCTTTCTCATGGATCGATCAGAGCTGATCGGATTCTGAATGCTTTGAGTAGCCAGGAGCGAGACAGTTGCCGAGATGATGTGATTTTTTAAGTACATTCATTCCTGATTCATAGATCTAAAGCCAAACGCCTTTGTGCAGTGTAAGTCCTGGCAAGGAATCCGTGGAAAGAATTCATTGTTCCTGCTTTGCTTTTGCATGCAAAAGAATGAATATGGTGTGCACTGTGGGTAGCTTTAGACACGGTCTTGAATGATGTTGAACAACGGGATCCGTTTAGATTCGTTTAGCCAAATGCTGTAGGACTTGAAGGTGAAATTGGATGATGAGGGAGATGCCTCCTACAGCGTTGCGAGTGTGCCTGTCAACTACTCGGTCTCTTTGTCTCGAACCCAAAAGTGTCGTTGCTCCTAGTAGCGATGCCCTTTGCTCCTAGTAGCTTCTTGCTCCTAGTAGTTTAGCAGCCAGGAGCTGCTAGTAGCGCCCTTGCTCCTAAAAGCCTATCTAAGGCTATCATAGGCTATCTAATCTAAGAAGCCAGGCCTCGGGGTCAAAAAGAAGCTACCATGCGAGCCGCTTGTGAGCTTGCAAGTACGGGAGTGCTTTCCAATGAATGGCATGCCCTTGCTAGGTTGGTTGGAGGCCATGGCCCTTGGGTTCCTTTGGACCAACGAGTGAAGTTTCCTAAGGACTTGTCTCGCTTTCAGAAGCTGCAAAAGTTTCTGCAGTCCGACAGATATGAAATGATCATTGCCATCGTGCTTTGTATCTTGGCCGAATCATGACACGCAGCTTGGGCTTGTTGAACTAGTGCTAGCGAACGCTGGAAGTTTGTGGGGGCACGGACAAACAGAATTGACCTCTTAGAACCAATAGAGCTCTTTTCACTTCTCAATTTTTTTGTCGTTGGTTTTTGTTTCCACCAGTTCGCCCTGACTCTTGTGATTACTGTTCAGTGCAACTCTGGCAGTTGTGATGTGGTGCTCTTAATTTAAGTGTCACGAAAAATCTAGGAACCAAATCGTTAGTGCAGGCGGGGGGAGCTTGTTTGAAGAAGCGTGAGCTATCCTCTGTCTTAGCTAGGAGCTTCCTATTGCTAGTAGCGAACTTCTCCCTTACTTAATTAAGGAGGCGCCTACTTCATTGAGTAGGAGTGGGCAACAAAAACATTTAAACAAAAACACAAAACATGATGCTCACACAGGTCGTGTTGTGTTGTTGTGGCGGAGAGTGTTGTCGTGTGGTGTGCTCAGTCCTTAGTCTGCTCTAGGTCTCAGTCTGTCGTAGCAATGACAGGCGTAGAGCAGTTAGCCTCTTCTTCCGGCATTTTGTTCAGAGTAGCGATGGCCTCCAACCTAGTAGCTTCTTGCTACTAGTAGTAATGGCCTCCAACCTACTAGCGATAGCCTCCAACTAATTAGTCAAGACAACACGCACACTGCGGCCGTGAAGGCCATTCCAGAAAGCGAGCCTACTCACAAGAGATGTAACCAGCGAATGTCGAAGTCATGTAGACCTTATCATTTATCATATAACTTCTTATCCAAAATTGATTCACTTCTCATTCAATTGTTCTTTAACTCCTTCCCAAAGCAACGTCCTTGTAAGGACAGTGGACTTTGTATCAATTACACAAAACAATTGCTCGTGTTTGCATGCGCAAAGTTGGTGCAAACACAAGCAATGTGCAAAATGGCTGTGGGCAGGATCCATCTACCAACCCTTCAGACTGAAAGACTCATGAGCGGAGGATAGCTGCAACCCTTTTCAGCAACAACTGCTCCCACGGCCGCTCCCGCATGCTATCAGTGTCCTTCCCCAATCCCACCGACGTGTAGTTGACATTTCACAGGATCCAACGTTACAAGTCCCTGCAAGAAAGTTAATCAGATTCGCTCACGAGTGAAAATACGTGTTTTCTTCGCAAACAATGCACTGTGGAAAGGGATCATTTTCGGTTTCACACATTTTCCTAAACATCTACCAAAACGAAATAACGAATAGCGTGAGCTCTCCTGCGCCCTACCTAGGAGCGTCCTACTCAATAGCTACTAGCTTACTGCTTCCTCTAGCAGCCTACCCCCGCCGAAAAACAACCACAACAACCGCAACAACAACACCAGCAGCAACAGCAACTGCAACCGCGACCGCAACCGCAGATATTTTTGACAAACATGATTTGTGAGTTGCTTTGAGTGCCTCACTGAATGCCTCGAGCGAGTCTGCATGTGGTCTTGCCGACTCTTCCGGTCGTCAAGTGAAGTTGTCCGGTGTCCGGTCCTCGGTCCCTAGTTAGGTGGAGGCCATCGCTTTTAGAAACAAAGAACAAAGAAAAGGAAGAACGGTCTAATGAGTCTAATATAGTCTGCGAAGTGTAGAAGTGTCAAGTGGTGACACCAGTTCATGACTGTGTCGAAGTGTATCCTTTTCAGTTGGTGTGCATGTGCACCAAGTGCTCCACCAGACATCGACACGCCTGCAGTAGTTCTCTTGTTAATTGATTCTACTGTAATATTAATTATTGTTTCTAATAGCTTCTTGTTACTACTAAGGCACTTGTTCCTAGAAGCGATGCACTTGTTCCTAGTAGCTTATTGTTCCTACTCATTTCTCAAACATCTCTCAAGCATGACTCCTGCACCGTCCCTGTCTCAGTCCCTGTTTGATTCAATACTTCTCACTTTCAGTGGCCTGTAAGCTAGCCTTGGCAGCCTTGACTGCCTCGACGGAGTGTACCTAAGAGCCATGTCATTGTTTAGCTACAAAAAAAGTGTGCTTCGAACCGCTTCAGGTGTTCATAGGATTGATTTGTCCTCCTAAGAGCCTCCTTCACAGACGACATCTCTTGCACAGATTTCAAGCTGATATTCCTTCAAATCCTGGTTTCCAAGAAAAGATCTTAGAGGTTGCTATCAGGAGGGAGGCCATTGCTATTAGGAGGGAGGTCGGATATGGACTATGCAGGTGTCAATGTGCTCTTGATGGCCTTCGAGCTGCAGATCGATGGGTCAGTGAAAGGCTATGAGCAGGGAATCATCGGTTACGTGGTGGTCCCGTCCGAGGCATACCCAGGTTGGGAGTCCGCCTTCAAGAACATTGGACGGACTTAGTGGAGTTTTATAGATTGCTTGGAGGCCGCTCTTAGGTTGGACTCAATGTAGGGGAAGACTCCAAGACAGGTCAGGTGTTTATGCTTCAGATGCATGTCGGGATTTGCTTTGTGCCAAGGACAGTAGATCTCATCTTCACCTTGTTCTTTGCAGCTGATGTCATTTTGCGAGTATGTGTTCTTAAATCCAAGTTCTTCAAGGCCTTTGTGAACTACATCGATTTGGCAGTCACTTGCAAACGCACTTGCTAAATCAAGATGTTTGTTGAACAGAAAAGCAGAGCATGATGCTCTGTGATTGTCAACACTTGAGGTTTGTGTTACAACGCTGATGGAAGTCACTCTGTACTATATGAGCCATGGCAAAATCTTGGACGCTAAATCATGTGGAACATATGAGCACTAGCTCCTGTCACAGTGAACAGAGTGAACAGCGGCCTCAAGCATGTCCGGAATTCTTGGATTTGAAAGCATTCTAGGTTGGAGGCCATTACTACTAGTAGCAAGAAGCTACTAGGTTGGAGGCCATTGCTATTAGGTTGGAGGCCATTACTTGGAACAAGAAGCTATTAGGTTGGAGGCCAGCAGCCAGATGCGCTGTCAAACGACGGGAAAAGAATTTCTGAGTGCGCTTTTCGTAAAGAAATCTATCCCTACTTTGTACAAAGTGCACCCCTTGTTCTGTTTCTTTTCTAGTAGCGTCCTCTTGCTCCTAGTAGCGATGCCAGGAGCCCCTAGTAGCGTTCTTGTTACTACTAACGTGGCACTTGTTTCTAGTAGCGTTCTTGTTACTACTAGTAAGGCACTTGTTACTAGAAGCGATGCACTTGTTCCTAGTAGCGATGCCCGAAATGCTCGTAGCGATGCCCTTGTTCACATCCGGTCTGAGGGTGACTTTACCGGTGAGTCCGATCCTATTTCGTCTTCTTCGTATTGGCAAATTGAGCCGAGCGATACGCATGGTCACTATGCACAGTGTCCTGCAGTCCTTGCATTTGTTGCTTGGAGCACCCCTTTCTTCATCTAAGTACATATTCAAGGGGAAAAATAAGAACCAAGCATCTTCAGATCTCGAAGGTTCTCGAAGTCTCTTTTCCATTCTTTTCCTCCCTTTACGAAGTTAGGGATATAGTATATTTGTTACACGTATAATATCTTACAGGTTTTTGACTCTATTTTTATGACATGCTTTGTCATCACCGCTGTGTGCACATTTTGACTGAGATGCCTTGCCGAGGCTCATCAAATGCCTTACCGCGAGTACAAACATGCTCTTCTGGAGCTTTTGCTTGCTCACCTTCTTTCAGTGTGTCTCTGGATTGGTGATCAGCACACTCTGTCGCGATTTTATCCGAGACACCAGCCAGCCTCTTGAGTTAAGACCCTTGACATGATTTAGTGGAGGCCATTGCTGGTAGGTTGGCGACCATTGCTATCAGGTTAATCTCCCAGCATGCTCCTTATGGTAGTTTACTCCAAAGCCAAGGTCCTTAAGCTGAAGCGGTCTGTTGTTTGAGTCAATCCACTGTTGTTTCCGTTGATTATTGATTTGTGACCTATACTATGTGAGCTTGTGTGAACGGCAAGACTGCAAGAGTATGTCTGACAATGAGAGCAACTTCTGAGCTTAACTACAATCAACCAATGCACACGTGTACGGACGTAGCTCAAAGCTTGTTTTGGAATACCAACCAAGTGCCCCAAAGAGGCTTTTTCCTATCAAAAGCAGGGGTCAAATGAGTATAGATTGGGTGCTGCCAAATAGCTGTAACAGTCAGTAAACACATTTTCCTTAAAACAGACCCTCCAAAAGTGCACCAAGTGTTGTCCCTTTTTGCTGCTACTCTTGCCCGGCCTTCTTGCTCACTGCTGCTATTTGTGTTTACTTGTTTTGGTGCAATTTTCAATTAATTCAATTGACAATTCAATTTGCAATTGGCAATTCAATTATTTATAGTGGGTGATGGGGCCATGGGAACTTCAATGCCTGGATCTCAGAGTGGCCATCACCACCATGTACCATAGCACCTTTTCCTATTCCATGTTCTATTCTATTGATGTTTGACTTTTGGCACTTTGTTGAGGCCATGATATCCAGGATCCACATCTACAATCCACAATTGCAGGGGCCTTGGGGTGTTTGGGGGGTGAAGGTTTTTTTTCTGTTTTTTTTTGTGAGCTTGGTTTTGAAACCACTGACTGCTTTCATGGTTGCAGCATTTGGGCTTTGGGCTGCAAAGGGCCCACACAATCAACAAATGAGAGCAAAAGTCATCAACATAATCAATTGGCAATTGGCAGCAAAATTTTCACCTCACAGATTTACTTCCAACACTGCTGCAACAGCAACATCACTTCATCACTTCAGATGCCAATGGTCAATTGTCAACTGCCAATTGCTTGATGGAGCAATGCAGGCATGGGGGTTTTCCACTCATGAAGAGCTCCTTGAGGACCCTGCTGCTCATTTGCAAATCATTGTTTGGCATGTGTCATGTATGAGTTTGTCAGTTCAATCAATTGCCAATTGCCCAATTGTTTGTCTATTTTGCATGCCTTCTTGATCAATTATTGCTGCTAAGGTGGTGGAAGTGACGCTGCCAGATGGAAGGGTGGCTTTCTGGCCTAGGCGAGTGCTCATCATTGGCTATGGGGTCCATGAGTGTCACTATGATGAGGAGACACGATCCTATCAGGCCTGGCACTTGTTTCTATGTGTGTTGACTTGTTTCTATGTGTGTTGATGTTGCTTGTGGCATGCTTTTCATTCACTGTCACTCATTTGCATGGCCCACTGACTGTGTTGCAGACTGGGGCAGGTGCCAATTTGGGACGATGTCGCAGACCTGTTGCACATGAGCAAGGACAAGCGGCTGCGTCACTGGGAGACACGGCTCAACCACATGTTGAAGAGCCGTTGGAGTCACGAGCAAGATGGAGGCTATAGAGCAGATCAGACTGGTGTTGATGCCAGTGTGATGCAAGAAGTGGCTTAGCTAAAACAAAGCTTCATGCACAATGACCAGTCATATCATTGTTTCAGGTCCATTTTCCCATTGTTTGCGAATCTGATTGGTTGTGAGTCTTGTGTTGTGCTATGCTGCTCAGGTCTTTCAACATCCTCTTGCATGGGAAGCGCTCATGAAGATTTTGACACATCCTCATAGAGTATGCAGGCAGGAAAGGGTGACAGAACTGGAGAGTAAAAGTGTGGGCTGTGGTGTTCACTTCAAAGCCTTGTGTGTCTCACGTCCCATCTTCCCCACGATGAGATGTTGGAGAGGAAAGCATCGCACGTGTGCCATGGCCTTTCTGACTGCCTTTGTCTTGATAGTGTCTTGGCAAATTAAGTTCTTTCTCCATTGTCAGGTATCAGCAAGGATCACCAACAGCTCAACCTGACATGTCCAGATTCAATTTTCCTAAAGCCTTGTCATGAACTGAACTTATTGTTGAGGTTGCCGGTTGCGACGTGCTGATCTATTTGGATTACCTATGTCAGGAAAAGTCAGAAGCTTTGTACTGCATCGAGAGCTGGCTTGCCAAGGCACCCCCATGCCAGGGAATGCAGTCACTTGTGCAAAGTTTACTTGTTGTGCATGCTTTGCATTTTTGTTTACGTATAATTTGCATAGCTTTTGCACGGCATGGGCAATTTTCCATCCTCCAGCTCAGCATGCACACACATGCACTTAGGACACTTCATTCCAGGATGGCTGCATCAATGTGTCTAACCGAGCAGGAAATCCAGGATGCCTTGAGGACTGCACACTCAGTTTGGAACAGGCTCAATCCCAATTTTCAATTGTGACTTGGCTACAAAAAGGACTTTTGCTGGGGTTGCAGTGGCAGTTCATGCATTTCAACAGCACTAGACCAATCACATTTCCAGCTTTCACCAATGAGCGCTAACTGAGGGCAAGTACCATTGCTCCACCCTTGCCTCCACCCCCTCTTCCTCCACCACCAAGTCCACCCTCGAAGGCGCCTTGCAAACCTGCTACTGCTGTTCTCCAGTTCTGTCCTGTACTTGCTTTGACTGGTGCTTCACCTCCATGGAACTTGAGTTGTGTCCATTGAACTTTGCTAGGTGAAGACAGATGATGTTGCAGATGGAGATCATTATCAGTGCACTTCTGCCACTTCTTTTGGGTGGGATGGAGGTGGGTACGATGAGAATTGGTGGACGAACACAGGTCCTTGGACAGGCCCAGCTGGAGATGATAGTCACCACCCTCCTACTTGTTGGGGGATTGAGGGGGTTATGAAGGTCTTTGAGGAGTATGAGAAGGAGGACAGGCGACTCGAAGAGCTTTCAAAAGCAGGACCATCAGCTTGGTGGGCATCACATGCGAAAGAAACTCCTACAGCTTCATCAAGGAAACGGTCTTCATCAAACAAGCAGCCAAGCAAGCAGTCTTCATCAAGCATGCAGCCACAACAAATGCCTGAAGCAGAGCAGGTTGAGCAGCGTGTGCAGGAGGACACATTGGACCCTGTGGGTGTTCCTGAGCAGACGGACACATTGGACCCTGTCATGTGGCTTGCCATGTCAACTCAGTCTCATGTTGCCATATCACCATATCATATCAATGTTGCGCATGCCAAATGAGTTCCCATTCCAAGTCCCAACAAGTGCAACTAATAAACTGACGCTTTCCAGTGTCCAAGGCATGAGGTGCTTGCAGACTATTGGATCCAAGAGACGAGCATCAACAAGTTCCATGAGTTGGGAAAAATGAACGCTGGCAAGGAGAGGCAAACCAAGCTGCTGCCCCACATCAGCATTCAGATTCAATTTGCAGCGTTTAAGGCAACATTGCAGTAGTGAGAGCTTGAAGCATTTCATTTCTCATGCACCAAGGCTGAACCTATCATTCCGCTGGGGGCACAAATCTGAATCCAGGCTCTGGTTTGCCAATTCTTTGGGCCACTTCACTGCAATTTCCAAGTGCCATGAACCCATGCATTGTGAGTTACCACTCATGAGCAACATGATTTCAACGTGGCTTCAAGTCAGAGTTGCATTTTTGAGTTGTCAACTATCAGCACTGTATTGAGTTGGCATGTGTTTGATTGGCTTAGGAATGGAAATAGCTCGTGCTTTGGCTGTGGAGGGGAAGAGGCAGAGGTAAAAGCCCTCGTTCACTCGTCTTCGCCTGATGGAAAAGTTGGAAGCAGATGACGCTGACACTTTTGCTTTGAAGGGTCTTTGACACCACTGCGTTTGATGGCTGATTGTTTTGTTACATCTTGCCAGCTCAGCATTTCTCAGGCCATCAGTGATGCACTTCATGAAATTGCTTGGCACTAAAACATGCTGTTGAGTTTTTAGCTTTGGAACCACTCACTGGTGTTTAAGTTGTTCAGTCTCAGACTTGATGTCATAATCATGCCAAGCATGTATCAATTCTGACCATGTTGAGGTCGTTCAGTCGTTCGGGTGAAGAACAGTGCCTGACCAAGCCATCAACTTAGTGCTCACTTTGCACTTGAAGTGTTTTTTTTGCACCATGTCATGTGTCACTGTCACACGTGTGCTGAAGGATTCACATGTCACAGTCACATACCATGTGCCACTGTTCTTTGAGCTTGTGTCACCCCAGGTGGTTTCAATTGACAATTGACGGTCTGGGGCCAAGCCATACTCAGTTGGTGGCAAGCGATGGATTGACATGAAGACTTGTACATTGATTCAAAAACTTAGACTCAAACATATGTTTCTGTTAGTCACGTCTACTTTGGCAAACCTACTTTTCTACTTAAACACACCTCACCTCAGCATCTTGCAGTCCATTCATTGGCCTTCAGTTGATTGCCTTCATGTTTGCGCGCCTTATTGTTGCAGCAGCATTTGTGCTGAAAGGCCTTGCTAAGGTCACAGAGCACAAGCCTGGCCTTCATACTTCACAGACTTCACACACATCACATCGCCTAATATCATGTATAAAATCACTGATGTCCATGTCACAGATCCTCACAGCACTTGCCATTTTGAATTGTCAATTGCCCTGCGCCGTGGATGCCTCCATCTGTGGCTCTGGAGCTGATTGAAGAAGAGTTCAAGCCACTCTTCAAACACTTGCCTCGGAACCTAGTCAGGATTTTAAACCAGACTTCATGGTGACTTAGTAGAAAGACTTAGTAGAAAGATTGGTCTTAGCAACTCTCCTCCAAGGAAGTCACAGCAAGCCCCTTGGTCTTATTTGGGTGTGAGTTGGAACTGTGACATTGCAATTTCCACATGATTGGGGGTGGTGACATTTGCGCCATGTCTTGAGCATGGTTCCTGGCTTGCTGACAGGTATTGTGGATCACAAAGAACTTGTCTGAACAAGGCTTCCGATTGGTGCTGTGCCTGGATTGCATTTAGACCTGAA